GCCTTGTTTTCTGTAGTTGCACAGCCTACACTTGTGAATCGGGTATTAGAGGCACAGGGAAGTGACCTTAAGGTAGAATCCCTCCGGGAGAAGATCTCCAGCGGGAAAGGTGAGAACGGTTTGACTGTGTATCCTGACTTGAGTGTGAGGTACCGAGACCGTCTGTTTGTGCCAGAGTCGTGCCGAGAGAAAGTACTCCGAGAGTTTCATCATTCACGCCTTATGGTGCATCCGGGAGGCACTAAGATATATCGTGATCTGAGCCGCCAGTTTTGGTGGAGAGGGATGAAGAAAGATGTAGTTGTTTTTGTGTCTAAGTGCCTTACTTGTCAACAAGTGAAGGCCGAGCATCAGAGGCCAGCGGGTTTGTTGCAACCCTTGCCTATAGCCGAGTGGAAGTAGGAGCATGTCACGATGGACTTCGTTGTAAGTCTTCCGAGGACTCAACGAGGTAGTGATGCTATTTGGGTGGTCGTAGACTGGTTAACTAAGTCGACGCACTTCATTCCTATGTGCATGAGAGACTCGGTAGATCATCTTGCCGACTTGTATATCCGGGACATAGTGAGGTTGCACAGGGTCCCAGTGTCGATCGTCTCAGATAGAGATCTGCGCTTTACTGCTAGGTTGTGGCAGAGTTTACAGCGTGCCTTGGGCACTAGATTGACCTTTAGCATGGCTTATCATCCTCAGACTGACGGGCAGTCCGAGCGTATCATTCAGGTCCTTGAGGATATGCTTCGAAGCTGTATCCTTGACTTTAGTGGGTTATGGGAGAGGCACTTGCCCTTAGTGGAGTTTGCCTACAACAATAGTTTCCAATCGAGTATTGGTATGGCACCGTTTAAGGCCTTGTATGGCCGACCATGTAGGTCTCCTGTGTGTTGGGCCGAGGTGGGTAATGCACCTTTGTTGGGCCCGGAGTTGGTCCGGGAAACGACGAAGAAAGTCGAGCTTATCCGTAAGAGGCTTGTTACAGCCCAGAGTCGCCAAAAGTGTTATGCCGACGGAGGCCTTTTGGCATTTGAGGTGGGTGATCATGTCTTTCTGAAGATATCAAACCTAGGCGGGGTTTGATGAGATTTGGGAAGAGCGAGTTGTCCCCTCGGTTTATTGGCCCTTTTGAGATCCTTGAGAGGATTGGTGAGGTTGCCTACCATTTAGCTTTGCCGTCGCAGTTGTCCGGAGTGCATGACGTGTTTCATGTTAGTATGCTTCGGAAATACGAGCCGGATCCATCACATGTATTGGATTGGACCGACTTAGAGGTTGATGAGGATGCCTCGTATGAGGATAGACCGGTGAGGGTCTTGGATAGGTAAGAACAAGTCTTGCGAGGCAAGACGATACCTTTGGTAAAAGTTTTGTGAAAACGTCACGGGGTGAAGGAAGCCACTTGGGAACGTGAGTTAGATGTCCGTGAGAAATATCCGGACTTGTTTGTTAATTTTTAACCATGTATTGGAAACTTTATTTTGTTGATAAACTCTAAGAACAATTTTTATATTTTGGTCTATGGAAGTATGATAATTGTTGAATATATCTCGGAAATGGAAGTTTAATTTAACATTGCATATGTTGAATGTGTTGTAGAAATGCAAATATATTATTAACATTGAATATGTTATGGAATTGTGAAGCATGTATATTGGAATTTGTTGAATTTCAAAGAAACGCATGTTGATAATACTTATTGAATTATATTGTAATTTGCCTCTTGAAAAGAGATGGGATGACCAGTAGTGGGTCAGGATGTTGAATATTGAATTGTAATACTGTTGAGAATTAAGAAAACACAATTTTGAAACTTCTATCTAATTTCGGGGACGAAATTTTTTAAGAGGGGGAGGTTATAGCGATCTCGGGTTTTTCCCCTTTATGTACAGTATTTCGGACTTAGGTTCCATGACTAAGTATTGTTGTATATGTCTCATTTCGTCCTTTAATTCTTTGTATATGAGTTTTAGGATGTGTTGGGCAGGTTTGTAACAGGTTGGTTGTGATTAGAAACGAAGTTTTGCTGTCCAGTTTTTGGTGTCTTCACTCGAGTGAGGCTTTTGTCGCTCGAGTGAGTTTTGAGTTCATGTCTCTTGGCTCGAGCGAAAGCTCTTGCACTCGAGCGTGCGTCTGCATGTCCTTTTTGACCGGAAGGTTATGTTTCTTGGCTCGAGCGAGCTTTCCTTCGCTCGAGCGAGCGAGCTGTGTGTTTTGGGTTTCTTCGGTCGAGCGAGGACTCCTGCGCTCGAGCATGCTTTTGGGTTGCAGACCTAAAGCTTCGTGTTGTTGGCTCGAGCGAGGCTTTTTGCGCTTGAGCGAGGTTCGTCTGTGTCTGGTCGCTCGAGCGACCAATCCTTCGCTCGAGCGAGTCTTGAGTATATCAGTTTGCAGCAGCGGGTTCTTACTCACTTTTTCATCTTCTTCTTTACTCCAACCCTAGCCCCGGCTGCTTCTCTCTCTAAACCACCACTTCTCTCTACAAGAACTCTTGATCTAGGGTTCTCCTACACTATTTCCTTTATATAAAAGCTTGAGCTTGGTGTGGCCTTCGTTTTGATCCGAAAAACATTGGGTTTGGAGCATCTTGAGTTTTCAACTTCATCTCCTTTGAGTCTCATTTCTTGAGGTAGGGATACCCTACTCCTTCTTATGAGTTTCGATATGGATTTTAGTCATTTTGTATAAATGGTGAAGTTTTGCTAATTTTGGAAGGTTAGGGTTTTGAAATTAAAATTTATAAAAAGGGTTTTCCATGTTTGAGTCTAATATGTGTAAGAGACTTCAAATTGAGGTTGTTTATGATATATGAGTGAAATTTGGCCATGGGGGCAACATTTGAGAATAGGGGGATTAAACCCCTAATTGAAATTAAGTAATTAATTTGTATAATTAATTTGGGAAATTTGGAAATATGAAATTGGGTTGAGAATCATGAAATTGGATGGAATTGTGGTAGAATGGTGTGGTTGGATTAATTTATCACCCACTTATGAAATTGTTGATTATTTATTTGTTCGATAAATTTATTTATCTGTTTAGAAATAACTGTTTTGGGCTATCGGTGGAGCATAGTCTTGATTGTTGTAGACACTACATGATGATTAGGTGAATTAAAACTAATCATTTGAGTTATGTCATTGAGTATGACTGTTGAACTGACACATTGAATATGTGCTTGGATTGATCATTGTATATGATAAACCGTTTAAATACATTACATATGTATCCTGTTTGGGAGGAGATAGGGGATGTACTCCATGGTTTGGGAGGAAATAGGGGATGTACTCTCAAACCTGTTTGGGAGGAGATAGGGGATGGACTCCATTAATAACTAAGTTGGCCGGAGTGTCTAGGGTGAAATCCCGAAATTGTGATTACGTTTGCATAACGTAGATAATTGAAGTATGGAAGTGTTTTAATATGAGTTGTAGCCTCATTTGAATTCTGAATAATGGAAGTGTCTTAATATGAGTTGTAGTCTCATTTAATTGTTTGGTTAGATAATGAGCCAGGTTTTGAATGTGAATTGGATAAATGAAGGAAAGTGGAATGAAACACGGGTGTGTTGGTCATGGAACTGGGAAATATTGTAAGTTGGTTTTACAAGTGTTAACCATTTGTCGAATGCTAATGTTTTAGTTATCTCTCATATATGGTTTAGTATATCTCTGCTGGACTTTGGCTTACCCTTTATGGAACATCATTTTCAGATACAGGTGATATGCCACCTCCAAGGGCGTAGCTTGGGAGACTTAGAGGCTGAAAGATCCTTTTTGTTATTATCATTTTGTATTAGATGTAAATCAAGCAAAGGGTTTATTTTGTAAAAAAAGTTAGAACTCTTCTTTTGTGTAACCAAGTGTTGACTTGAAAAGTTGTTAGCCCGTAGGACATTTACTTTTGTTGTCAACATGTAATACTTCTTGTAAAAAATACTCTGATGTATGGAATATCATATCTCTTTCTTGTATCATGAATATATGATTTATGAGTTTATTTTGAGGGCGTTACAAGTAAATTGAAAATAACTTGAAATATGAAGGACCTAAATGAGGAAAACAAAATTTAAACTTTAAGGGCCAAGATGAGAAATTGTCCAAACATAAAAGAGACTAAGTGTAGGAGAGTAAAAATGGTCCGTGGCCTATGGGTGGCCCGAAACCCGGCCGCGGCTTGGGGTGGGCCCAGCCTATTCAGGCCCGGGCTTGAGCTCAGTCCGAGGCTGTGAGCCTGGGCTTGGGCCGTTGTTTTGAAACCTAGCCCGGCCAATGGGCCAAGGCCATCTGGGCCGACCTATGGCTGAGCCCATTGGCCAGCTCAAGGCCCACTCAAAGCCCCACCTGAGACCCGACCTGCCTGAGGCCCAGTGTCATTTTTAGTGAAAAATAATAAAATTTCGTTGGAAAAAATAAAAATATATATTTAGGCCCGCCCAAGCCTGAGCCTAGGCCCAGGCCCACCGGTTCAGCTCCGCCAAGGCCCGAATACCCCCGGGCTTGGGTTTGGGCCTAATTTTCTAGACTGTGTGCCGGCTCGGCCCTGCCTGAATTTTGGTGGGCGCTTGTGAGGCCCAACATGGGATGTAATGTGAGTGTTTATGTTTTTGTTTTTTGTTTTTTTTTCCTCTTGTCACATTACTGGAGCTCTTTTTAAAGTTCTAAAATTAAAGCTCTTTATCATTATTGAACACAAAAAACAAACATAAACATCACATCATCTCTTAGGGCATGTTTGATTGGGTGGATTAAAGCATGAGATTGGAATTATTAATCTGTGGACCCAATTATCCTATATTTGTTTTAACATTTTGATTTAGGATTATTAATCCAATGGATAATTAATCCAACAAATTTGTAGGATTATTAGTAATGGGGTAGGAGTGAGATTATTAATCCAATAAATATTAATCTAATTAGATAGTAAATACCATATTAATTTAATAAAATTATTAATGCTTCACTATTTACCTTGTGAATCAAACATGACCTTAGACTTTTAAAGTTAGAACTCTCAATCATTTTTGTTCCTACCCGTATATTATTTCAACGCTATTCTTCAACAGTAAAAAAAATGGAGATATCTCTCTCCCTCCCTCTCTCTCCATCATCAACAACAACTCAGCAGCAACAGGTATCTCTCTTTTCTCTCTCTCGTCTCCCTCTCTCTCCTCTCTCTAAATGTAAAATGTAAAATACACAGAACGAAGAAACAGAGATAGTTCATAGAACCGGTAGGAAATAGCTGCGTTTGTTTTATGGCTTTTTGTCAATTCATCATTTGGTCAGGGTTTAGGAAGGGATTTGAAAAGGAAGGGAGAAAAAATATATAAAATTAGGTAAAATGTAAATATATTTTATTTATATTTTACCTATCTTTTTTTTCTTTCCGTTTCTAAATCCTTCCAAAATTCCTGAGCCAAACACAGCTTTAATTTCCAATCTCTCGTCCTCCATTGCAGGTCCTCTCTAACCATACTCTATCCTCATCTCCAAATTACACTATCAAATCCAACAAATTCACGACCCTGCCACTTCTCTGTCACAATCATCTTTGTAATCGCTCCAGTGCTTTGTATTTCTCGTCATCCTCATCCATGGAAGCGGCCCCTCCTGAAGGTTACAGAAGAAACGACGGCATTTGTATCGTCAATCCTCCCAAAATGGTCACATGTTCATACTATTCTCTCTCTAGAATTAGTTTCTCATTCTGTCTCTAAATGTAAAATACACATAAGAAAAGCTAGCATTATAATTGTGGTTTCTATTTATGTATAACATATGTTCACTTTGTTCTCATTATTATACCTTTTTTTTTTATATATATATATTAAAATTATGATCAATTAAGTTTCATATTATGGGAAACAGAACTTAATTATGTATGTTTAATTTTTAAATTGATTTATGGTTGGTATTGCATTAATATGCTTATATTTGGATGTTTGTTATAATTTTATGATTTTTATGATTTTCATCATCATAAATAATTAAAAAACAAAATAAACATTTTATGCATTAAAATAACAAATATGTTTTTGAGTTTTTGTTTTAAATTTTTTTTAAACATTTTGTTTTTTATTCAAAAAAAAATGTTTAAGAAAATTTAAAAACAAAAAATGTTTTAATTTTTTTTTTATTTAAACATTTTGTTTAAATCAAATATGTTTGCAGTTTTTTTTTTTTTCAAATAAACAGAAAACAATTTATAATTTTTTTATAAACATAAAAAAAATCGTAAATGTTACCAAATGCCAACTTATCTGTTTCATCAATAATGATATGATAAGGGTGTTGAGCATTGCATGATTGAGTTTACAACAAATCAAAAATTAATACATAACCTCTAATGTCATTGTAGGTAAATTATGCAACTTAAATTGGGAATTTTAATATTTTTTCTTATAAAATTATAGTTTCTTTCTAGGTGAGAAAATACCATTTAATTGGGACAAACAACAAATAAAAGTGGACATGTATGTTTTTTTTTTTTCCTTTTTTTTTTTATTGTATTCAAATCAGCAATTTAATTTATAAAATTTATAAAAACTAATTTTTATTTCTTATCAAATCTCACCACTTTTAAAGAGAATCAAAACATGAGTTAAATTTTTCTTTTTTATTTGTCACTATTTCTCTTTTTTGTTTAGGGAGAATTACTTATCAGTTAAATAGAAAAAAATAAATCACACAAACATTACACCTCCACAACTTTTCACTTGCATCCTACCATAAAATCACTTGCACCCTTTATATTTTTATAATTTTTTTCTCTACTCCACTCCACTGGTTAAGTAATTTTTCTTTTTTTTCCTCACATTTTTTTATCACTTTAATCATCCAACAAACTAATGAGAGAACTCTTTTTTCTATTTTTTCTTTCTTTCTTCTTTTTTTTTTAATTTATTTATTTATTATTTTTTTAAGCAAAAATTTCAATCCAAACAAACTGTAAGAGAGAAATGAGGTGGGTGATTCATTATCACTTTTTGTTTTTCTCTTAAAATTAAGATTAGTGTTTTAATATTAATTTATTTATTTTGATTGAATTTAAAAATATATATTTTTCATTATCAGAAATATAAGAATCTTATGGGTTTGATGAAAATTTTTTACTTCTAATTTTATTCACTAAACTACTTTAAAGTGAAGACTTACAAATGTCTTCCATTTTTTCATGTCCCAAAATGCCACCACACGTTCTAACACCAGCCACCTCTTACATGTCCATTTGTAATCTATACAACCCGTTACCCAACTGTTTCACTTTTACCCAATTGTTGCGATTTTTGATAATAAATTTCGTTCTTTGTGTTGTCCATAGGATGAGAAGGTATCTGGTGGACCCATCGTACCATATCGTTGTATGCCTATATTATAATAAGAGAATACCTAATCACTTTGGCTAGAAGATAGAAGGGAAAGTAAAAAAACATTAATTACATGACTTAATACAGTGGTGTTTTGAGAAGTTGGTAAAAAATTAATTTTTTGACTTTTTTAATTTATTTTGTCTTTTTGTGAGTAAAAAATATAAGAAATAATGTGATTCAAAATAAATAAAACGTTAAAAACTGATTTTTTATTTGATTGCCAAAACACCCCCCCACAATTGTAAAAATACATCACGTCACATGAACCTATTTGATAATTTCTTGGATGAGACACTTGTTGCTCTTTTTTTTTTTTTTTTTTTTTTTTTTTGCTCTTCAATTGGCAATAGTGCCTCTTGACCACCACGGCCGCAGTCTTTCAAAACTTTTACACAAATAATGATTTGAAATATTTCATCTCATCAGAATCTCCATTCATCGCTTAGCACAATTATATTATTTCTTAAATTACTTCATACAAATCAAAATTCACAAATCACAATTATAGTACAACCACACCAACCACACTACTTGAAAACTCTCCCACAATATTTGTTTCCCAACCAAAACAATTAAAAATGAGTTTAATTTTTTTTTAATTTATTTATTTATTACCAAATCTCACCACTTTTAAAGACAAGCAAAACATAAGTTTAAATTTTTTCTTTTTTGTCACTATTTTTCTTTTTCCTTTTTTTTTCCCTTGGGGGTGGTGGGGGGTGGGGTGGAATTATTTATCAGTTGGAAATTATTTATCTGTTGGACAAAATAAAATTAAAAAAACAAATCACACAAATATAGAACTTTTCACTTGTACCCCACCATAAAATCACTTGCATTCTCCATATTTTTGTAATTTTTTCTCTGCTCCACTGTTAAGTAATTCCCTTTTTTTCCCTCACATTTTTTATTGCTTTAATCATCCAACAAATGAACGAGAGAACTCTTTTTTTCTATTTTTTCTTTCTTTTTTTAGCAAAAATTTCAATCCAAAAAACCTGTAAGAGGAATTTTCTCTTAAAATTAATGAGGTGGGTGATTCATTATCCTTTTTTGGTTTTCTCTTAAAATTAAGATTAGTGTTTTAATATTAATTTATTTATTTTGATTGAATCTTGACCTTGTTGCCTACACTTGCATCCACCTGTACAATTGCAGACGCGCCTGTGTTCAGGCTAAAATCACCATTAAATGTGTTCTCCCACATGCTAACCTGGTGGTGGATTGGCTCATATAAACCCATCATTCCTGAAGTGGCAAATTGAGTTGATGAAGAGTTCATACCTTAATTCACTGATCAAAAGGCAAACATAATAATTCAGTTGAAGCATCATACAAATAATGTAATTGAAATTATGCAAAATTGAATCAACCCACAGTGAAAGAAGACGTCTCAGAGGAAGCTAAGAAATTAATTAAGTGACCAACAAGAAAGTAAAAATCAAGAAACAGAACTTGACCAAATCACAGAATTATAGGCAAAGCCCACCAATCACAGCCTTTTAATTACAACTCTTGCTACTGTCATTTGCTATGATAGAATTAGGCAGTCTATTTGTCAAAAAATTAAAATTTAAAAATGAAAAAAGAAAGAAGAAAAAAAGTTCTTCTACTGATAAGAATGTGAGGGAGAATGCTTATTCACTGATATATGATTACATGACATACTGAATTCTTTTGGATTCTTGAAAACAATTGTGGTTCTAAATACTTTTTCTATAATAGATAAGAGATGCATCCATCCCTAATGACATCAAGAAAGGCAAAAAATGATATGCTAAGAAATCCAGAGAAGTAAAGCTGCAGGATTGTATTTACAAATATAACAAGTTATATCATTAAAACAATACCCCAAGCCACCAAACGAACATATGCATATACCTTATACACATACATACATATACAAATATATGATCAACCTTAAATTAAAACTGAGAATGTGTATGGATTACATGTCAAAAGAAGTCGACAGACTATTTAATAACTCAAACCCTCACTTCAACAACCAATAGTCCTTCTGCAACCTATAAATCAATAGAATTACCATCAAGACACAAACTCGATCACCAAAGAGCTTGAACAACAAATCATATACTAATTCTTAGAAGTACAAGAAATGAATTGATACGATTCTACGATATGAACTCGAGCGAAACAATGAAAGCAACAAACACCATATTACATATACAGAAGCAAAAACACAAACACTTGGGGCATATGATATCATTTGTAGCATCAAGTCCTCAGATTGAAACCAACAACAAATTCAATTCCTCCAAATTAATGAAAACAACAAAGAAAGAAAATTTGACAGAATTGAAAACAAATACAATGCTGTAAATGAATTGATTAAGAGAGACTAACCTATTCATGTGGGTTAGAGTTGGATTGTGCTAGAAACCCGCAAAAAAAATTAAAAAAATGGAAAAGATCTTTCATGAGTCCCATAATAATGCATTCATCATTTGAAAACCCATTAAAGTTTAAGCTATAGAATAATCAAACAAGTCAACCTTCTTTTCCATCTAGCTAATTTGCTCCTAATCTTCTCCAACACAGGTCTCCAAGTGGCTTTTTCTGCTTGGATTAGCCCCTAGAGGTAACCCCAGATACCGTAGGGGCAGATTCTTCACTTTGCAATTCAATAATTAAGCAAAATCATTGAAGGAATCCTGTGCTACACCCACTCCACAAACTACACTTTTGTGGTAGTTTATTTTCAGCCAAGACAATACTTCAAAGCGTCTCAAAATCCTATTTAAATTGCTAACTTCCATCACATTAGATTCACAAAAGAGAATTGGGTCATCTGCAAATTGTAAGTGGGTAAGTGCAACATCATTAGATCCTATTTTCACCCCCTTAATTAAATCCTGGTCATGGGTCCTCGAGAGTAATAAAGTTAACCCTTCAGCTACAATGTTAAATAAGAAGGGGGATACAGGATCCCCTTGTCTTAGGCTCCTTTGTGGACTAAATTCCTCTGTTGGAGATCCATTAACAAGCACAAATCACCTTGTAGTAGTTACACATTCCTTCATCCAATCTACCCATTTTGATCCAAAGCCAAAATTTGAAAGCATTGAGAATAGGAAATCAATTAACTGAGTCGTAGTTGTTAACCAGTTAGCTAGAAAAAGGAAAAAAACTAATAGTAAATGAGAAAGACATATCAACAAAGTAATTATATAGTCTATTCAACTATATAAATATTTGAGGCCTCTTCAATGTTGGAGGCCTTAGACAAATGTCTTAATGGCCTATTAGTCAATGATGTTACTGATTAAACACATTGCATTTGCAGAGTTGACTTTGTTTTTCGTTTTTTTTCCCCCCTATTCTTTATTGATTCTTTTTGTTATTCAATTTTTAAATACATTTGAAGGCTTTTTGGACTAAAAGTAGTCTCTGTTTTTCTAACTTTGAATGTACTATATTGTTTTTCTTGGAAATTATATTAAATAATTGTTGTTGTTTATTG